CATCGTCCTAGGCACTGCTGCCTCTCTATCAGAGGCAGCAGCATGGGGTGAGGGAGCAGGTGCATCCAGTGTTTGTGGAGACCCAGCAGAAGCAGCAAGGTAAGGGGAGAAGAAATGTGTGTAGTTGACAAAATTAACCCATAAGCCCAGGCATATCCGTTAATCGTGTAGTCATCTACACTATGACATCCCTAGTTTCTATTCGTCCTAGGCACTGCTGCCTCTCTATCAGAGGCAGCAGCATGGGGTGAGGGAGCAGGTGCATCCAGTGTTTGTGGAGACCCAGCAGAAGCAGCAAGGTAAGGGGAGAAGAAATGTGTGTAGTTGACAAAATTAACCCATAAGCCCAGGCATATCCGTTAATCGTGTAGTCATCTACACTATGACATCCCTAGTTTCTATTTGTGGTGCACATCCACACATTCCTCGGAGCACAAAACAAAATTTATTCCACCCATAGATGGAAAAATTAGAAGGAACATTGGTTGGCACTCACTGGTAAAACGGAGCAGGAGGTGCAGGGGAATGGACAAATTAAAAAGAAAGTCCAATGCAAAAAAACACTGCAAGGACATCTACACTCATACTGATGGAAAGGGAGAAGCACATAAGCTGTATTCTCCACATTCATACAATGATGCACGCAACACTTTCAGAGGCTCACAGGTTTCAAGGTCAGAAGCGACTAATATGATCACCATCTGACTGCCTGTATAACATGGACCACAGGAAACCTGGTTCCAAGATTCCTGCATGAAGCCCATAATGTCTGTTTGGGCTGTAGCGTATGTTTAAAAAACCCCAGCGCTGTAACCAATCAGGACCTCACTTCACATCCAGGGGTAGCTTTGGAACAGTCCGTTCTGTATCCAAAACAGAGCTGATCTAAACAAACGTAATCACATTTCATGGCCCTTTTCAGGGCACGGAGGCAGAGAAAGGACATTTTTTGCTTCATTTGGAATTATTCCTGAGTTATTTCTGGATTTGAACAAAACGTTTCTGGTCATCAGCTTGTGTTCTGAAAATATTTCATGTGGTGGGGGAAAATCCTACTCCACGTTTTACCCAGGAAAGCTTACGCCCTAATAAATCTGTTACATTTTGTTTCAAATTGTGGAAGTAAATCCACCTTCTGACATTGTTTTTAACCAGGGAGAAAACAGAGTAAAAATAAATGGCAGTGAGTGGATTTTTTCACCTAACTTAAAAACAATAAAAAAGTTGTCAAAAATGACAAAAAAATCATGTAAAAATATGTTTTGTGCAAGACTGTTATTGAAATCCCTTTAAAAATGCTGAAAAAGGGTCAACCAGTCCTCATCCTAACAAGTTTGCCCATCGGGATAGATTATCTGTCTTGTCAGGCTGAAATTTTAGAACTTTGAAATGGCTACAGCTATTGAAGAGCAAATAGATTTGCTTTTGTGGGCAGTACTTGTGTCTTTGTTCTTTTCTAAATGGCCAGTTATGTACACAACAAAGAAATTCTTCCGACCAGGAGGATTTTTCCCCAGTAGGTAGTATTTTTCACTAAAAGGCCATAGTCATCTCTTTAAATCACAGACTAGGAGAATACCACCTCTCTATCTACATCTATTTTAGGTATCTCTAATGCACCCACCACTGTACTATTTACATGTCACACACCAAAGATTGTTAGCACTTTCTAATGAAATGTTGGGCACAGAGGGGATATACGAAGTGGGGATTGTTTTTGGTTTTTAAGTGCAGCCCCTTTTCTCTCAGGCTCTCACAGCATTAGCACAAATAGTGGTATCTCTATTTCAAAGCTGGGAAAAATGTGGAACAGACAAGGTCACGGAGGAAGTCTTCGTTCCTGGTAGAACCACTACAACACGGAGAAGTCAGAACTGTCCTTATGAGAACACAAAGACAAAGCATCCCCATTCCAAGAAATTTTAGGAGTTGGACTCTAAATCACAACCCCCCCCCCGCCCCGGATAGTTTTGTTTGGGCGCTGGTGCTGTGGAACCTTCACCCAAGTGGAAATGCCTGACCGTTTTACTCCCACAAAACATCCAGGATGAAATGGAGATGTATCAGGCCGTTGGGATTGGAGGCTATTGCTGTTCAATGTGGCAGTGAGCTGGAGGGGGAGGGGCAGGAAAACGACAGTGAAAAACACATTACTGGCTGGTTTCACAAAAGTGGCTGCCAAAAACCCAAGAACAGTAGCCCCATTAAAAAACAAACAAACAAACCAAACAACATGGCAAACTACAACTATCTAACAGTGATGTGCAGCAGGGAAGAAAATGTTCTGTCCTGGCATGATAGCCACTCCCCCATGACTTTATTCCTCGCAAGAGTGAAGAACAGGAGTAGAGATGTTAAAAATCGGTTAATTGAATAGTCTAGTAACCTCATGAATTCTTATCCATTACTCGACTATTCTATAATCCCCAAGGACTCCTGAGTAGCCCCCTGCCATTCCGTGCTGCTGCCTCTGAATCAGAGGCAGCAAGGCAGGATGTTAAGCAGGAGCTGGTCCAAAAGGGGAGCCAATTTTAAAACCAGCTCCCCTCGCAGTCCAGTTGCTTGTTGCTCCACACTGTTGCCTCTGATACGGGGTGGCAGCAGCCTCTGTCCGGGGTGATGGTAAGGGGGATGCTGAGTTCCTGGACTCAGCATGAGTCAGAACTGATCCGGGCTGCCTGCCCACCTACCTCCTAATATACTTTAAATGCAGAGCCACAGCAGGGGTAGGTCCTGGACCCATTGCAAGCCATGACTGAGACAGGCTGCTGGCCAACCTGCTAAAAAATTTACTGGTAGGGAGGAATGAGGAATGCATGTAATCTACAACATTAACTTATAAGCTATTGCTTATCGGTTAATCAACTACACTATTACATCCCTAAGCAGGAGGCTGGCTGACATATCTTTACAGCATTAAAGGACAGGATAGTGTATCTCACAAGTCTAGGAGATACTGGAACTCATTTAAGCAAACCTATGGGCTATGTCTAGACTGGCATGATTTTCCGCAAATGCTTTTAATGGAAAAGTTTTCCGTTAAAAGCTTTTGCGGAAAAGAGCGTCTAGATTGGCACGGACGCTTTTCCGCAAAAGCACTT